ATTTTTTTTTTACCAATTTGTAAGAAACAATTTATGTTCTTTTTAAAAATATAATAAATCTATTATTTTTGTTTGATAAAAAATTTAAATTTAAAATTAACTTTAAATGGGACGGGTAGCGTAGCTTGGACTATGATTCCTGTATCCGTCCCGGGGCAATGAACCTTGCCCCGTCCCCGCCCCATTTACCCGATTAGGCTAGTAATCATCGCCCCGTTCAAGGCGGGGGCCCATGGGTTTCGGGTTGAACGGAATTTTTTGCCATCCCTAATGGTTGTGGGTTTTGTCGAGGGCTTCAACTAAAAATTGACCCACCAAGTTAATTAAAAAATAACTTAGAAACATTGGAAAAAATTTATAAAGGGTTTAATTTATGTATATATATATACACACACACAAATGAAATGATGGACAAATTGATAATACTTATGGCACCATTGAAGAGTTGAGATCCGATGTCCAATTTGCTATTCACCAAATTAATTATTGACACGTCATTTTAAATTAGTGTGTCCAATTTTCTCTAACTACTTATATTTAAAAATAGGTGACAATTCTAATATAAAATGATATGTCAATAATTAATTTGTGGACATCAAATTGAACAACAAATCTCAACTCTCCATTGAATTGTGTGGTTTTAAATGAAGTTTAACAATTTCTAAGTTATTTATAAATTTTGCCAAACAAAGGCCTAATCGTAACATTTAACCCTCGTACTATAATAAATTTAAAAAATATTTAAGGGCATGTTTGAGTCCTATTTTTTTGGCTAATGATGCATTTTTGAATAGTTATTTGATGGAGAATGTGTAGTTAGAAAATAAGGAAAAAATTTGGATTCACCTATAATATTATTTTGTTGAAGAATATGTGGTTGAAGAATATATATATATAGTATCCGTAAATATTAATTATATTGATAAAAAAATCATGTACACCGAACATTTTCGGGCAAAACAAAGATCAAGGAATGTATACAGGTATGCCGGGCATACCCTGTTAAACAAAATAAAAAAGATGTATTAACAATAAGATCTAAAGATCTAATGCAAGAGATTCAAAATGATGATACAAAGAGAACATTACTTTGTATGCATGTGTTTTAATCCATCTCATTATGTAGTCGGAATGTGGCTTTAGATTTTCAAAAATTTTCTTGTTTCTAGCCATCCGTATGTAGTCGGAATGTGGCCTACGTGCTCCCAATTCTTGATTCGCTGTGCGCATCGTCCTCTTGTTCAGTGTCTACTATATCGTTTTAGTGCTAACATCTATAGTTCCCGTTAAATTTATAATACATTTTTATTTCTCTTCTTTTAAATTACGCATTTTTAATAAAACGATATTACATATAAACCAAAAATTTATCTTTCTTTTTCAACCACACATTCTCCAAAAAAAATATTATTCCAAAGATTGTAATATCAAATAATAGAGGCCAAATAGGGCATAATTAACCCAAAATGATAAACATGTGTGGCTCCACAATATGGGGGCTCACGACCAATAAAAATATTGTGGACCCCCTATTGTGAGGGGGCTGTAGACCGGTGTACACGTATCAAAACCTTACAAACATGTATGCATGTCGATATTTATTTATTTACATAATTTTATGTACCACTTATCGACATCAGTGAACGTAGGTAGGGACCTAGTGGGGGTTCGAGGCCCACTGAAATATGAAAATAAAAAATTTATATATTAAAATATAATATCTTGAGTTTGAATTTTTTTTCATAGTTAAAATTATGGCCCATTTGACATAGCTTTTAAAAAGTTAAAAAGTGCTTTGGAGATTCAAAAGTTGCTTTTGGATTCGTTTGACTAATTTTATGAACATGTTTTTTTGTAGTTAAAGAGTTTTTAGATGAAAATGGTCCAAAGTAGATTTTTCTAAAAGTACTTTCGAAATAGAAAGTACTTTTAAAAGTTGGTTTTCAAACAAAAATTTATGTAACTTTCTCTAAAAACTCTTATACATGAAGTAAAAGCAGAACCAATAGTCATACCAACGAGCCTTTAGAATACTAAAAAGTTTCCCTATTTGGTCCTCATTTTTTGAAAGTTTAATTTTTCTCAAATTTATTTTTAGTTTCACATTCATTTCATGGGACCATAACTTTTACTAACTTTTCAAACACACGTTTCATCAATTTTTTTTTTCCGCCACAGCTCATGGGCCTATCTATTATACTAAAGTTGTGTAACTTACAATCTAATTTTAACATATTTTATGATAATTATGTCCCCATTTGACCTCAAATATTTAATTATATGCTATGGGTATTTTGTAGTATGAAATCTTTGTCGTGATGTCATGATCGACTTATAATTATATATAAGTTAGGAAGACGGTGACTTCATTCAAATATTTATATATTATTGCTTGCTATTCTACTCGTAAGCCATGCAAGCAACTTGGCCTACTAGCATTCATAATAAATGTTTAAAAAAAAAAAACGCATGTGGGCAAAGTTTAACGAAGTATAAGTCGGTTTCAATTAATTGATTCAGAAAGTTGAATAATAGGATTGGCAAAATATTTCGTCCTTATCCTATCAAATATTGGGGAACCGAGACGAAGACCGGACCGTCAACAAACCATTACATAAACGCAAGACTTTTTTTTATTTAGGGCCCGTTCGGTAAGGATTAAAATCAGATTAAATTTGAAAAAATAGCCATTATTATTAACTTTTATTAGATGAGTGAGACCCAATAACGGTCATATTTTCAATTTTAATTGAATTTTAATCCCTACCAAACGGGACCTTAAATTGCAGTCCAACAATGACTCACAGATTTAACCGACGATCAACTAGTGATATGATGACTCGGTGATTTATCTAAGTCAACAGTTGATTCGGGTCTAATAATCACAAGTTTGACAATAAGTAATTTTTTTGATATTCCATATATTAGAAATATTCAAATAACTTAAATTATTTTGGCTAATACCATGAAAGTTGGAATAGATCTTGTAAACAACTCCAAAAAATTTAACAACATTCTTATTAATTATCATTATCTTTATGATTTTCATCAAGAAATTATGTGCACAATTTTATTATCATGTAGTGGATAACATTTAAGTAATATTTATAAAAAAATAATTCGTAAATGTATTAAAATGTCAATGAAATAAGATAAGAATATCACGTTACCATCAAGATAGTCATATATTGTTGGCCCTAAAGAGTAGTAGGTCACAACTAAGACGGCTGTCGTTACGAGTCGGCATTACCTACAACTAAGAAAGCTGTCGTTACGAGTCGGCATTATTTTACATATTACAAGAGTCAATATATTCCGTCGAATGGGATCCACACATCCTCACTTCAAAATTCAAACTTGCTCCATAACAACCAAGTTCGACACATTTTTCTAGTAGATTGGCTCGAGCCGAGTTCGAGTTGAGCTAATGCTAACCTTATATGTCTCGAGATATTTGCATATCATACACCAAGTCAAATCAGCCATCCAAGTCAGACCCGATCCAGTTGAAATCGACGACTTAGATATATATGTCGAAAACCACTTGTTGTACAAGAGTACATAGATTTGTAATTTGTTAAGACATTGACATGATAATATTTTAGTAGTTTTGAGTTGGGTTTTCAATAATATCCTGCTTTTGCATTTCAAGATGAAAATGACTACATGTTATTTTTGGACCAATCCACCAAGAATTTTGTTGCAAGTTGATGAAGTGAGTGCTTGTTAGCCATTACTTTTCTGTCCTTTCCCTTTTCATCCCAACTACCCTCTTTTGTATTTTACACAAAGTCGACCGATGGATGGACGCGTCTTTGAGTTGTCTTACAAACTTTTATAGTACGTTTGGTATATAATATTAAAGCGATTTTTGCTTCTACTTTTGCTTCATGTAAAAGAAAGTAAATTCGTAGTCTCAGAAGTAATTTTTGACTTTCTGAAAGCCACGACAAACGAATCCTTAACCGAACTTGATTAAAATTTTAATTTATTTTTCTTTAATACAGTTTCAAAAGTCATCATTAACTAACACATTTTTAACTAAACTCCAAGAACATTAGCAGAATAGAAGCTTGTGCTGTCTGCTTCCATATATAGCAGAGAAGGAATTGCAGATTTTTCAGCATTCACGTTATTGGGATTTTGAGCGTAAATTCTTTATTTTGGCTTCTGATTATGAAAACAAGAAGAGGGAAGCGATCTGAGGTGTGATTTTATTTGCTCTGATTACAATTCTGACATTTTTTTTTCCTGATAACTGACCTTGAAAATTTTCATTTTTCTCCGCAGCCATTTTGGCCGTCCATTGTGATGAAAAAATGGCTGAATATAAAGCCGAAGGTTTATGATTTTAGTGAAGATGAAGTTGATACAGAGAGCGAGGATGATGGTAATGGTTCCGTTAATTAATTGCCCATGAAAATTCATTCCGCGATTGATCGTTTATTTTATGAATTATTGTTCAATTTGATTTCAGCTTGTTCCCTTAAAAATGAAAGGATACACATACACGAGGATCGTGATTATGCGACAGAGGGAAACCAATCTGAATGCTCGAGTCCAACTTCAAGCGGTAATTTCAGTGATTTTAATCAGTCAGATACATATGGGTACCCCTATTATGCTTCAATTAATAAGTGCAGTTATGATCCAATTGCATGCATGGCTGCCCATAAATATACCTTCCGGGTATATGTTTGGTACACCGTATTAAAGAAGAAAAAGAGTTAATATGCAGTTGTGTGTCCAAATATGTCCTTCATGAATATGGATCCTCCAAACTATGCCTTCTGAACTACTGGATTACAAGGAATTGAACACATATAATGTTTTTATCTCTTTGATGCCTTTCGTGCATAGTGCTGTCTCAATCTTTTTGACTAAATTTCATGTAAGTTTGCTTAGTTTTTACTGAATTAGGACTTATGCCCTAGATCAAATAGTAGAACATATTTTATCTGATTAATGGACAGATCTGAAGTTTATTTCTGCAATATATTGAAGCAAACGTATATATCCAGGGAAGCCTTCAATAGAGAATTCCCTAAGAAGCCGGAGAGGAAGATCTGAAACTTTGCGTCTTCAGTACATAAATACAAAAGATGTGAGGTTTGGCTCTAAAATAAGTATATGGGATTTTACTTTTGTTTTTAATGTTGATAGTAATGAATCTTCTGTGAATTTATTTTGTTCCTGATCACTAATGATTATATTGGTTGATTTTTTGTGCAGAGTAATGATAGGCACTTGGAATGTCGCTGGAAGACTTCCATTTGATGATCTTGAAATTGATGAATGGCTTTGTGTGCAAGAGCCAACAGATATATACATTCTTGGGTAACCACTTAATTCATAAGTTATTTTGAATGAGTTATAACTTGTCGGTCAACATAGGCTGTTTCTTAGCAAATTTTAAGTGCCTGTATTTGGTGATTTCACTTATCTGGAGAACTTTATACTACTTTGAAGTCAATCCAAGAGCTTGAGTTTCAGTACAAACTCTGCAGTCAATTTTTTTCCGGGTTACAAAACTGTTTACCCCTTTCAAACTGTAAAATTGTATATTAATTTTCCTACTCAAGCAGAGCAAATTGAGGGTATATACATAACCATTTCCCCGAAACATCTTTATAAGTATATTCGTGTAGGTATGTACAATGCTAGGTACATTTTTATTCTCAAAACAACATGACTTAGTGCATGTCTGAAAGCGCGGTGATTTTTTATCACAATTTTATGCTTGATTCAGCATCCTAAGATATATCTTACTTCCTCCCATATATATATATATATATATATATTCAATGACCGTCTATCTTACTTCTTACATGGCTTCTTCTTCATGGAATGTATTTGTAGTTATCACTGAAAGTGTTTAATTAGTTATCACTTCGTCTTGAACCAGTGCATTTGATTTCCCTTAAATTCAATGCATTTGTAAAGCGAAAACTTAGAGAGAAGAATTATTGTCCTTTGAATTGAATTTTTGTTCTTTCTAAATTCTTTTTATACAGATTTCAAGAGGTGGTTCCTTTGAATGCTGGGAATGTACTTGGAGCAGAGAATAGAAGTTCAATTCCAAAATGGGAGGCTATAATCCGTAGGACTTTAAACAAATCATTGGAACCTGAAACCAAACACAAATGCTACAGTGCACCTCCTTCTCCTGTATTAAGGACTTCTTCTTCTTCGGATATACTTGCTGATGTGGCTAATACCCCTGTGCTAAACATGATAGGAAAAGATTTCATAGGTATCATGAATGATGATAATAATAGAATAATCAGTACAGTTAAGAATAGCCATTTAATGAGAACATGTGGCATTGATTCTGACAGAAGATTGGACTGGCCGGAACACTCGTTGGATACAACCTCTCAAGATCTATCTTGTGTAATCAAATTACGAAGAACAGTGAGTAGTTCTGCAAGATTTGGTTTTGAAATGATGGAAAATTCACTTACTTCTGGCACTGAGAATATTGAATTAAGTGGTTATGGGTTGAAAAGAGTTCACCAAAGTTCTGGAAACTTAGGCTTGATCTGGATGGATCAACAAGATGGGCTTGAAGTTCTAGATTCTCTCTCTGATGAATCTGATCAAATTTCTGGAGAGGAAGATGATTCTGTTGTACAGTTACTATCGAATGTAAAACGGGAAAATATGCATTCAAGGAATGCAGCGAAGTCGCGTCCACGGTATGTGCGGATTGTAAGTAAGCAGATGGTTGGAATATATGTATCGGTATGGGTGCGTAGAAGATTAAGGAGACACGTAAACAACTTAAAAGTCTCTCCGGTTGGAGTTGGGCTTATGGGATACATGGGCAATAAGGTATTGCTTCTTACTTGAGTTAAAGCAACTTTATGTATTCAGCTCTATAAGCCAAAAATCATTCTTTTTAAAATAAAAAGAAACCATTACATTCCTGGCCTGTTGTTGCCATCAAGTTCTGCATCAACTGTTTGTAGGTGTTGAAAGTAATATAAATCTGTTCAAGCCATATGCAGAAACGTGTCTTGGTTCTAAATTTCGATGTCCTAAGTTTACATCACTTACTTATTATTATTCTCATCACATGTTCGAATATTTTGTTATTATATACATATATCGTGCAGAGTTATTAAGATATATTACCCTTGTCATTAATCTGTATATAACTTTATCATACCTTCTGTTCAGGGATCTGTTTCAGTTAGTATGTCTCTTTTCCAATCACGGCTATGCTTTGTCTGTTCTCATTTAACCTCTGGTCAAAAGGATGGGGCTGAGCAAAGGCGTAATTCTAACGTTTACGAGATTTTAAGGCGTACGCATTTTTCATCTGTCTTTGATGTTGATCAGCCACAGACAATTCGATCTCATGAGTACGTACACTGTATGAGTTTCATTTGAAACTTTTCTTTTGTCAGGGGTGAGGACATATAGGAATACTTATTAGCTACTCCTTTGTTAGAATACTTCAGATCTCTCTCTACACTTATAAGTCATGGAAAAATTCCTGAGTAACACCTACCAATTCAAGTTTTTCACTTATAATTGTGTTCCTTTCATTTAGTGAGTGAGTTCTTGCATTCATTTCATGTAAACTGAATTGTTATCAATGTTTCTAATAACAGTCAGATATTCTGGTTTGGAGATTTGAATTATCGCATCAATATGTTGGACGCGGAAGTAAGGAAGCTTGTTGCGGAGAAGGACTGGACTGAGCTTCTCAACAGCGATCAGGTTAGGGACTTAATTCTCACTTTTTCCTAGATCATTATAATTTTTTATCGGTTTAACTGTAGTTACCAAGATTATGATGATAATTTATCGTCGAAAAATTGACAGGTTGTATGTCTGTATACATTTATTTTGTACCCTCGCACGTTAAAGAACGACGTTAAGTGAACAATACTGAATTATTGAGGATTTTTTCACTTAACGAATGCTTTTCAGAGGACATAATATAGAAGTTTTTGCTTATACTTTTGTCTTCTTTAAGACTTCATGACATTTTGTCCATAGTATAAATCAGAAGTGAAGAGTGAGTATACACTCTTGGATGTGGATTAACGTAGTTCATTATTTATTTTTCTTTGATTGACCAATCTTGATCATAACCTTTTTTTTTTTTTTGGCCTGTATGTGGGTTATTGATAGGCACTGAGTAGTAGATCCGTTATTTGATTTTGGGAGTATTATTTTTTTTTTCATTTTTAATTGAGATGCAGTTTTGGTTTTGTATGCACATATATTTTATTTGAATTTGAAGACACCTAATGATGGGATAAATTTTGGCAGTTAATCAAAGAATTAAGAAGTGGGCATGTATTTGATGGGTGGAAAGAAGGGGTAATAAACTTCGCACCAACTTACAAGTATGAAATCAACTCTGATAGATACATCGGGGAAAACCCAAAAGAAGGAGAGAAGAAGAGATCCCCTGCATGGTAAGTGAGACTGTTGCTAGATCCTTACTCTAAATGCACACAGTTATTGTACAAACTTGAGAATTCGCCAATTGTGGGTGCTGAGCGAAATGTCTGTTATATTTTTGCTAGTCTATGCATCAATGTTGCTGGAGGATGCAACTGTTTTGTGGAGTTAAGTTTACGTAGTATTAAGAACTATGCTATTCTTCAATCGACTTACTGAAGGGAAGTATAAATTTACTTCTGGATCACACTGAATTCACCCTTTACTACAAAAATTTCAGCTGCACAATGCAGTCTCTTTCCTTGTACTCCTGTCCCTGCTTCACATCTTCTGTTAATCCAGTTTATTATACCAAATAAGCTGGAAGTGTACCATGCTTATACGTCTGAATTCTACTACCATATATGTTTAGTCATACTTGGCTACTTGTTACAAGACATTGAATGTGTGCAGGTGTGACCGTGTATTATGGTTAGGAAAAGGCATAAAACAACTTTCTTATAAGCAGGCGGACATAAGACTGTCAGATCACCGGCCTGTGAGTTCAACGTTCTTGGTTGAAGTTGAAATCTTTGATCATCGCAAGCTCCATAGAGCTCTTAATTTCTCTACTGCAGCAGTACATCCTGATATATATTTTCCAGAGTGAAGGTTGACAGATGACACAACACTATTATCTTAATACTAAATGCTTCTTGATGAACATTGTAGTGAATGGGTAATTGTGTGCTGGTCTCTTGGTTACAGTGATCAATATGTTGAACATATGGAAAGATTGTCATAATTTTTTTAATGATATTTTTTCCCGTATAGTTCGATCGAGAAAGTAGAATGGAGTCTTTCATTTTATTGTTAATTGAAACCCAATAAATCGGGCTCTTTGTAGTCTAGACAGAAAAGTTATACAAATTCTCTACTATTTTTTCAATGTGTTTCAAGTTTCAACTATATTTAGTGTACATGTTCTATCACAACCCTTAGAACCTTTTATTTTTGTTCTATTTAATATATATATATGATTCTAATCAGTGACTTAAATTTAAAATTACTTTATTTATTGTTGGGATGGTTACACACACAGATATATATATATATATATATATATACACACACATATATATACATATATATATATNGATGGTTACACACACAGATATATATATATATATATATAATATTATTTGAAAGAAATATTTAAATTAAATAAGATGACCGAGTAGTAAAAAACATGGAATTTATGTAGGAGGCAATGGTTCAAATTAGAGGTGGGCATTTGTTGGGTCGGGTCGGGTTGGTTTTTGCCTCAACCCAAACCCAACCTAATCCAACATGATCAGTTTGATCATAATTTAATCCAATCCACTCATGTAAAGATTGAAACTTAACCTGACCCAACCCAACCCAATCAAGTATCGATTGGGTTGGTCGGTTAGAGACAATTTGTCAACAAAGATTAAAGTAGATGAGTCGAGTAGGACAGATTTATAATTAACTCATAATTTATATAATATTAGGTCTATATAGTTGCAGACCAAAAAATCTGAATTATTTTGGCACTTCATGCCCAAAAATATTACATGAACAGATTGATATTAAATTATATGAAGCCAAAAAATGTTTTTGGCAATTAAAATGTTTTTGTGTTGAATTCTATCCAAATCTTATAATATTATTCTTAGAGTTTCTATGTCTTGTTCCATATTCAAGACTTCTCGTGTATCGCGTTTGTATATATAGAACCTAGTTAATTAGTAGTATATAATTAGTGTATGGTTTACTCAAACTTTTCAACTATTGCACAAAATTTCCCCAACAAGAACTGACATTTTAATCTAGATTTTTTTGAATATTGTAGCTCTTGGAAGTTGTGTGAAGAAACATAGTGACTCAATTTCATCCAAGCAATAGCCGGGTTGGGTTGAGCGGGTTTATTCGGTTTTCATGAGTTAAGATATAACCTAATTCAACTTAACTCGTCTACACAACCAACCCACCAAACCCGTGTAAAAACAACAAAATAACCGACCCAAACCGGTCAGGTTGGTTCGGTTTGGACGGTTTTGGTGGATTCGATCGGGTTTTGCCCACCCCTAGTTCAAATCACATCCCATGCGAATATTAAAAAATCTATGATTAGATGATTTTATAAAAGGTTTAAAATTTAAATCTATTCGAATTGTCAATCTTAATATCATGGTTAACAAAATTTTAGCGTAATTCTCATCTTTTAAGCTAATAGTAATATGTTTGGCTAATGTTTATAAACAGTTTATAATCGATCAAATCACTTTTTAATCACATATTTTGTGGATCCACAATTATTAACTTATCAACTATATTTTTATATCTATTTATAATTTAAATGATTTATAAACACTTTCTAACTAATGCATAAACGTATCTTTAATTTACCTTTTATACCTTATAAAAAGTAAGTCACGATGCCAATGTCGAGTGGACAACCGTATGATAGATAATCTACTCCAAATACAATTGAGAGTCCAAGACTTGTTGCATTTAAAAAACATTGGAGATCTCCACTGCAATTTTTTCTAAAATATTGCATATATTGAGCCTCTATTTGGTGGAGATTAAAATAATTACTTAGTAGATTTTGTTAAAAATTGATAAAATATGTTGTTAAAAGTAATTGTTGAATTTGATTTGAGATTTTAATCTGGACCAAATAAGAGCTAAGTTAATTTCGCAAAAGGTGAAGTTCGAGCGAAATTTTAAATTTCTCGACTCATTCAATCACTAAAATTAAATAATTTGTATTTAATCATTCTATTAACTTGAGTCCTTCGACCTTGACTAATCGAAGGGATGGGGGCAAGGCTATGGCTACGGCTACGACAGGCCATTCCTGTTTTCGTGTGGTTGGGGATTTTCGAGAGGAGGGACGGTAGTAGGATTAAAATATCCTTACTTATTATTCTGTTTAATTATTTTTATTTTTTAAATACGATGTAAATAAAAAACATAAAGTTAAAATAAATAAAAGGATTCGAGTGATGTTCCTGTTAGAAAAATATAATAAGATTATCGATCAAAACAATAATCAAATCCTTAATTCTCAAATATAACCATCCATGTTGAAATTAATAAGAATGAAAATAGCGGAAGCATAAACATACCTTGATTCATAAATTTCTAATTCTTTATCGGATATGTTAGGATCTTCCA